ATTTTGCAATAATCTTGCGCCACCCTTGCACAAAACGACGATCATTTTTCTAATTTCATAGATAACAGAAGACTGTATTTATTTTTTCTACATAACCCCCCCCTGACCCCCTGTAAATAATGTTTGTTAAGTTTTGTTTAATGGAAAATTTGCGCGACATCCAATTTGAGATAGATATCCAATTAGTTCAAAAGATCACTATATGTTTCAATATGAAATATCTTGTAAACAGTAAGATATATTGACTTCGAACAAGTATACATGTTATGTTTAAAAAATATCCTAAAATGTGATGATTTTTGAAACGCCAAATAATTTCTGATGCACAAATTTTTGTGGTTATAGTAAAACTGGTTAAAAATCTATTCAGAAAAAGCAAAATTTGTGTTTGCACTTTGACACATCTCGAAATCTATTAACTTTCGGATAAGACCAATTAGCCTGAAACGCAATATTTTTGCCTAAACAATATGTCAGTGAATTTTTGGCCATTAGCTGACGACGACCCTTATTGATATCGACTCTTAATCATTATTCGTTAATTTTAGATGCAGATTATGCAAAAAAGCTTTCTCCGACAGCAGCACCCTGACCAAACATTTAAGAATCCACAGTGGCGAGAAACCTTACGAGTGCAAACTGTGTCTATTAAGATTCAGCCAAAGTGGAAACCTCAACAGGCATATGAGAGTTCATGGCACCACCAATGGGCTGCCTCCGTGACACACATGGTTCAGTTATGCCGCCTAAATTAACTATGCAGAGTTACTTTTTTGTACATATCATATGTAAAAATTTAACCTTCGCATCTACTCTAGTCACTACCTACTTATATAAGTTTAGATTGAATTCAACTTCTGCATATTGGTTTAACTGAAGGCCGGATATGGCAGAAGAAAAATCGTAATTCAAAAATAAAAAATACTCAATGATGTTCGAAAAGATATATTTAATAAATGGAGCCCTTAATAAGTACGGCCAGAATGCTGTAAACATATAATAAGATTCTAGATGTGTTTTACCTACCTACCTACTTACCGAGTTTTCGAATTGAATGAGATACCAACAGTGAAACCTTTATTTTATTTTTCCCGCATGTCATTTAAACGGAACTATTCCACTACCAAAAAGAGTAAGTAGATATTAAAAATAATTATAAAAAATAGCAAAACTTAATCAATTACGAGGTCACTTCACTGATTCAACTTGATCAATTGATCTTAGTCTTCATCTCCTGGAAATATTCTGAATTTAATAGGCCCAACAATACATCCAATTAATAAAGTCATATCAAATATAATCAGTGTAATATTTACCAATTGGACTAATCCAGCTGTTTGTTAGATTTAAATTTATGGAGTTATACCTCAAGCAACGCAATGACGTGCATCTGACCATTTTCCATTCTTTTTTATTAACTTTTTTTTCGTACCTATATGAAAAAATTGGCATTTTTACATACCAGGCCATACCAACTTGAAAATACACTTTTTACCATCTCATTTTACTACACAGTTGCTTTTGTATTAGTGCAACTTTTATAAGAAAAAATATGTGCATTTGCATAGATATCAAGAGCAGATCCGTATGAGATGATTAGTAACGTAAAACAATAAAACTTGAACTATAAAATATATATTTTTCGATCAGTAAGTGCGCTCCTGCATATATTCACATCAGTCAATTTGGTTTGGTACCTTGAGGTACTGAGAGTGGAGCGTGTACGTACACACAGTACGTAGGTACAGTGCACAGCGTATACCCAAACAGAAACACCACTATCTAACAGCATTATTATACTATTTAGTGTGTAGGAGAAATGTGGTTTTGTAAGCTAAATGGAGCTTTGAAGGGAGCATCCAAAACTGGTAGGAAAACTGCATGAACATAAACTCATTGGTTTCAAAGATATACTTAATGAAAGGGCTTTAGTTCTGTGAGAAGCTTAACAGAGAATTCTTGTACAGCGATAGATTTACGCAACACTATAATTCAAAAAATATATCATTTATATACATCTCCAAATTGAAAGACAAACCGAAAAAATATTCTAATTCGTTTTCATGTCTTAGCGATAAACGCTTATATTTCCAATATTCAACAAACGATAAGCCAACTGGGTCAAACTGAGACTGATAACAAGTTTATAATCGATTAAACTATCTGTTAATAATACATTTTATTTTGATTTATATTCCTGACTG